TAATAATCTGCCCTCTGAGCCAGGTCGGCAGAATCCAGTGAGCGCCGACCTGCCGCGTTCCGGTCTCCTTCGTCTCCACGTATTTTCCAACCTCCCTTTGATTTCTTCCCTGACGCCCTCGCTATTTGTGAGTGTGCTTGCACATTTTTCATATTCGCAGGTTCTAGGGAATTGCTGGTTACTGAGCCCTAATCCCGTTCTATTCTGTTTGGATCTTATTCACCGCATAATTTCCATCTTTTCAATGCACGGGTTCCTCCCAATGCCTGCAGTGAGGTCCACCCTGGAGGAGGATCCAGGTGCCCTTGGGGAGAAGATGGGTTCTCTTGTGCCTGAAGGACTGTCCCAGGTTGTGATCAAAGGGCAGGAGAGGCCATCACTTTCTGGTGTTGGTCCCCAGGGAGGGGCCCTGTGACCTGGGACTCTGAGCTGTCCTCACTGCAGTGAGGCAGCAGGACACGGGTCAGGATCCAATTTTGGTCTGATTTTTCAAGGTGATAGTTTTCATTTCAATCCATACACTGACACTAGCTATCATGGCTGTGCAGAGAGGTGTTTACTTGTTCCTGTGCCAGAAATGTCCCCGAAGGGACTGTTTTCTGCAGTGTCTGCACATTCAAAAATCATGAATCCATATTACAGCCATGCCTGTAGATGACAGACTCATGCGCTCTGAGTAGAAGGGCCTGGGGTGGAACTGGGGGAGATGAGAAAACACAGGAGACTGTCTTGATGCAGCTCGCTTCGAACCCACGAGATTCAGGTACCTCAGTTGAACACAGACGTGCTGGGGTGGGCAGTGGAGTGCAGGCTGGAAACTCCACCTTCAGACAGACAGGAGCCTGCAACCTCCAGTACATCCAGAGACCTCATCCACTCAGGTCCACGAGTAGGGCAGGCCATTCTCAGCCCCCCTCTGCCCTTCTGTGCCATACTGGACCAACAGTTATGCAGGCCCTTCCTCTCAAGGGGCCCTGAAACAGACTCCACAGTGTCAACGGGCCTACAGGACGTGGTGCTTGAGGTCAGCTGAACTCCAAGAACATGGCCTTGTGGTGCACAGCCCTAGGAGCCCTATCCCTCAGCACACCACAGGCCTACTGTGCTCAGGATGGTCCTACTGTGGGCAGGGAACACCGTCTTGATCCAGAAAACTTTTTGCAAGCTTCGGCTCCAAGTAATGTATGGTGAGAAATGCCCCCTCTAGTCAGTCCCCACCCAACTGTGAGTGTGGAACATGAGATTCTGACTATTCACAAACATGACAGCTCCAGGGGACACTCTCGGACATCAGGGGGAGTGTCACCTTGTAGACAGCAGACCTGTGCACCTTCAGGTGAGAGGGCGTTGGTGTCACCAGTGCACCAGGTCCAGTCTCCACACCCAGGACCTCAGTGTGACCCCTGGGGAGGAGCTGGTGTAGAGAGATGGAGACAGGGCTGTGGCCTCTGCTGGTGCAGGTTCCTGAGCCCCAGGCCCTGCCCCTCCTCCAGTGTAGATGCAGCACCTCCACCTCCCAGGGATACCTGCTGGGCCTGCCTGACCTCAGGACGTGGAGCAGCCCACAGTTCTGACTGCATGCTCCCTTGACAACTAAAATCTAAAAATCTTGGTAATATGGAGGACTGAAATGCCTGATGGTGTTTTTCCTACTCTCAAGAAAGAAAATGGCTGATCAAAGCTTCTTATATACCATCTTCTTCCTACGTGATCCACTCTCATGATGCTGTAGAGCCCCGGGATTTCCCTTCATGTCCACGTGGTCCAGGCCCCAGGTCTATACTGTGACTGTGAAAGGAGCTTTCATGATGCCGAGGGGACAAAGTGTGAGTGTGTACTGTTCTCCACTCCATGTGAACGCGCACTGTCTCTGTCCTGCTCTCTGAGAGGTAACGAGGGGCTCAGGGTCTGCATCCATGGGGCAGCCTGTGCACCTGCAGCAGGTGGTTCTATTCCAGCAGAGCTCCCGTCCGGTCAGAAATTGCAAGTAGGAGGATTGCATTTCCACCTTCCAGGATCCATTCCACTATAGTAGGGACCAGTCCCCTAGAGTGATAGATGGGGTCACCAGTCAGACAGGAGAAGAGAAAGGTGTCCCTGAGGTCACTGTTCTGCTGGGAATCCTCCTCTCCTTGGGGACAACCAGCCTAGAGCAGAGCACACAACCTGTGTTTCCTCTGTTCCCTGGATAGAGGACTCTGTCCTTTAAGGACCCCCACCACCACCACCACCACCAACATATACACACATTATAACCTGGCCCTACCTGCTGAGGGACGTTCTATACCTGACATTTCCAATTGAATAGCACACACCACCATGGATCCTCCCTGAGGCTCTCACTGGACACACCCATGGTCCTTCCTAGGGTTCAAATTCCTGAAAGTCATCGCTTACTAGGTACAGAGTTTCTATGGTGGGTGATGAAAACCTCGGACTGGCTAGAGGTGATGGGGGAGCAACATTCTGAACATACTTCCTACTGCTGACCTACACATTTAGAAATGATGAAAACAGTCAGATTCTTGTTCTGTAGATTTTGTCAAAATAAGAAAATTGCATGCTTCGGAAAAAAGTAAACTGAGTATAATATTCAAATTATGGAATTGAAAAAATACAGATTTTGATGGTAATTCTCTCTCTACTCAGCAACTGTTAACATTGTTTGTGTTTTATTATCCTTTGTATGGCTATAAATGAACTTAAAATAAGCAAACAGGTCCCTTTAGTTTAAATGATGTTGTATTTATATAAGGTCAAAATAAGATCATTTTTGCTGTACTTGATATGAAATTATGGATGTTTTTCAGTTAAATTTTTATAATTTTTATTTTTTTTTTTGCCTTAGAGTGTGTGCTCTTGCCAGAGAGAGAGGAGAGACAGAAAGAGAGAAGGTGAGAAATTACCCAACCAGTGGTATGGCCACACCACAATCGCTTTATCTCCATTCTCCTTCTGAGATTTTTGGCATGTTCACCCACATGTGCATTGTCATTTTCAAGCCACCAGGCCTGGCACTTGCACTGCAGTTGATCAGGTGGGAGTCCAGTGTCTTGAATACTGATGGTTCCTTTTGAAAAATTCTTATAAATTTATGTGTTTTTTTTTTTTTTTTTTCACGCTAAAGAGATAGCGAAAAACCAGCCACCTCCAACAAGGTCTTCACACCACAGCCCACTCCCGTCTCAGACGCCCTGGAGCGTGAACACACACACCGACACCCAGCGAGCTCAGGGAGGTGCTGGGACGCTAACCCCGGCCCTGTCCTATGGGTCCCAGTCGCATTCCCACTGCCCCACTGCCTGCTGCCTCTTTTTTCCTTTTTCTTGTTCTTTTCTAACTTGGAGATTGTGTGGCTTATGGAGATGTGAACGGTTCACACAGTGAGGATAACCTTGATGGCTGCTTCAGGGCCCACTGTCAGGCTGAGCTGACTCTCACAGGGTCACCCCCATCTGTATCTGTTCTGGGGTGAAGAGAGCGATCTGAGCAGACGTGGAGGTGGAGGTGGAGGGTGTGCGTGTGCAGCTCACACCCCCAGGGACATGTCTGCAGCTCTCAGAGCAGCTGGGGCCATGGCTCCTTTTTCCTGGGACTCACCTTTAGCCTGGGTCTGACTCTTGGCTCTCTCAGAACCCAGAGCTCCTAGGGAGTGCCTTTTACATCCCATTAAAATGCAAGGGACAAAAAGATATTATAGGATGTTTGGATGTTGATCACAAGTTAAACAAGTCTTTCCAGTGCACAGTGGCCCTTTGCACGGTGGGTACAGCTGGCTCCAAGAAGTTGTCCTTGAAACAGACTCTCTATGAAGACCTACAGACTCAGGCCACCTTAAAGGAGGGAGGAGGCAGCATGGGGCAGAAGGAGGCCCAGACCTGAGGGAGGAAGCAGTGGGGCCTCAGGCTTCCCTCCAGGGAGCACTGGGGCTGACCCTATGTTAAGAACCCTGGCCTCTGGCTGTCATCAAACCAAACCTCTTGGGGACAAGGAGGAACTGTGGGAGGCAGGTTTCTAGAAAATCAGGACCTTCCTGGAAGGGCAACATGGTGTTTCTGGAGCTCTCTGCAGTGCTGGGTGGGTAGGTCAGTCCTGAAGAGGGGTCTGGTGAGATCCCACAGGGCCCAGGACACTGATTTACTCTGTTCAGATCCCATGATGCCATGGGAAACAGGGACTCAGGAGCTTAGCAGAGCTGGCCAGTCCTGGGTCTCTGAGCCAAGGCTGGAGATCTGCACCAAGTAGGAGCCAGGGAGCACCAGCAAGGGACGGACGTGTCCTTGTGTCTGTCCTTGCACTCAGTTCCTATCCCCACATCTCATGCGAAGGCTCCCAAATCACCAGGACAACCTAATTGTATGAGCTCTGACATGACAAATGCTCTGCACAGCCCGCCTCGGGGACTGGGAGGAGATGGCGCCCTGGAGGGTCTAACTGGGTGCCCTGGGCCTGCATTACTCTTGGCTGTGTCTCCCAACCTCCTGACAGTGAAAGGAGAGTATGACCCAGAGAAGGGGATTTTGTCTCACTTCCCCATCTTCATGTGTCACTGTGGGTAGATAACTTTCATCATACCAAGACTGACAGAAATAGACAGCCTCGTCATCGACCTGGGCCCCAGTGATGGCCAGGGTGGCCGTTCCACCTGAGCTGGAGCCGGAGAATCGGTCAGGGGCCCCTGAGGCCAGGTTGCTATCATCATAGATGAACAGTGCAGGGCGCTGGGCTGGCTTCTGCTGGTACCAGTGAGCAGGATAGCTTTCAAAATCTCCTCCCTGGCAGGTGATCCTGACTGTCTCTCCCAGGGCCACAGACAGGGCAGGGGGCTGAGTCAACGCAGAGGAGGTCACAGAGCCTGCAAGAGAGGACAGGAGAGGTGAGCCTGAGGCTGAGGGTCTCCTTCCCAGAGGGCCCCACACCCTGCAGCACCCACTGTGCTGAGCTGAAGGTCAGGCCAGGCTGGTCCCTGGTTATGTGGGATTGAGCCCTGGGGGCAGCACCTGTGCAGAGAGTGAGGAGGGGGAGCAGGAGAGGGGTCCAGGCCATGGTGGAGACACCCCAGAGCTCTGCCTCTGAGCCCACAGCTGGGAGGGCCCCCAGGCCTCTCTTATCCTGAGGGAGGGAGGCTCCTCATGCAAATGTCCTCCTTCCTTCTGTGGCTGAGGGTGGCTCCCTGCAGAGCAGAGAAAGGCTGGGCTTCCAGGAGGGTGTCCCATGAGCCTATCCCCAAGGCCTGTGCCCAGGATCTGAGTCTCTGTGGTGTATAGAGGGAAATTGTTGCCTCAACACAAACACACACACACACACACACACACACACACACACCCCTCAGGCTGCATTCTGGCTTCCTTCCCTGGTCTTGGTAAGACCCCTTCATTCCCCTAACTATGGCTGAGACTGTCCCTGGGTCGGCTGAGGAGAGCTTGGCAGGACCAGGTGGGTTCAGGGGTCATGCTGGGGCAGGGGAGGCCAGAAATCTACAGTGGGATTCAGAGTGAATGCCCACAGGCCTAGGGGTGGATTTTATTGTTTTGAAGAAAAAATGAGTATAATATTTCTACCTGGAATGTGGCAAAGACTTTCGGTTCTGACATCAAGTCTTCAAATCATAAAAGATGTGTCTGAGAAAAAAGTCTTATAAAAAGTAAAATCTTACAAACTTAGTTTTTAGGACTGGGTCTCCCCGTGTTGTATACCTCATATGTCGGCCTCCCCCTCAGAGCAGACATGAGGTCCAGACTTGCTTTCCAGACAGGGCCTCACTATGCTGCCCAGGCCAGGCTGGAGCTGGGGACCCCCCTCCTCAGTTCCTGACACAGTGGGGTTTCTCCGACGCATCAACAGGCCCGGCGGGAGCCTGGCTAGAATCAAACCTTCTCCACACACATGGGCCGGCCCACAGAGCACTGCGTCTCAGTGGTGTGTCCCTCTGGGGCTGGGCATTGCAATTTTACTTTTTAAAATAGTGTACCATGAAGTTATATAGAAGTTAAACAAAGTGAGATGCTATTGATAAGAAATTACTATATCCACTCATCCTTGCTTAGTTTTTTCCCTTATTACTTTTGGGTTTTTACTTTTGCCTTTTTATTGGTGAAAAGAGGACCATAATTCTACTCCTAGCAAGTTTCTACATGCAATGACACAAAACTGTAACCTCATGCCGTGTGTGGTGAGACCTTTAGACTCACTGCTAACGTCAGAGGAAGGGCTAGGTGGTGTCAGTGGAGAGTGGATTCACCCACAGAAGGGCCTCAGGGGATCCTCAGTCATGCCCTCTGCACTGAGCTCCTCCAGGGCACTGGGGTATCAGGGTCCACAAACCAAGGCCCACAGTGCCCGCTGGTGTCCACAGGACTCATGTCACCTACATGTGTCACCACTTCCTGCACCAGGACTGCTTCAGTCCTGCCCACACAATCTGGGCAGTTTGCTGAGTGTTTTACAGGAACCACCTCAGCCAGATGTTCCCAATAACCCCCAAGCAGCCCTGAACTTAAGGCACCATCTTCTCTCCCATCTACGACCAGGGACCATCATGGGAGGTGACACGATTTCCCCACAGTCCCAGACAGCAGTGGGAGGAGCCCAGGACCAGGAGTCTCAGTGCACAGTGGTCCTCAGCTTTCTGCATCTGCGCCCTCCTCAACCTCTCTCCCCAGGTCTCCTGGGCTCTCTTATCCCACCCTCTCTCCTGTGTCCAGGTGCTTTCAGGGAATAAGAGAAATGAAGATTTTCTGCTGAGAATTAACCCTGGTAGAGTCCCATGTATCCTTCTCTCACCTCTTTCTGTCTCTCCATCACTCTCTTTTGTTTCATTTTTAAAAATTTTTCTTTTTTTAGTATTTTTAAGGTAAAGTACTTTCTTGACTCTCAGATTCTCCTTTATCTTGCTAGTAATCCCCTTTCCCATCTCCCATGTAGGAGAGGCAAAACTGGCAGGCCTTTAGAAGAAAACTCGAGTCCTCCATGATAGTTGAGAACTAGTGCATTTGCACGGCTTGCTCATGGGGCATGTGGTTTTCATTTTTTGTTTTCTGAAAGAAAGAAATAAAGCTACTTTTCTTTGTTTTTTTCCTCTTTCTCTGTTTTCTTATCTTTTTCCTTTTACATCATCAATTTGCTGCTCAGCTACCATGCACTGAGCAGATCTGTGAACTGCAGCCAGACATCTGAGTACTATTAGGGTCAACATATTTCTCAATCCACACAGTGGGAGAAAAACAAATGGCAAAGAGTTTGCAGATCACCTTCTCCTGCACGCCTCTGAATGCTCAGATTGAACTTTTAGAAATCAGGACGAAATGAATAACACATCAGATGACTAGAATTCACTGCAGAGGCACAAGAAATATAAGAAACCACAAGGGAAAAGAATAACTCCTCTTTATTCACAGACAGTACAATAGAACTCACAGAAATTTCTGATAAAAAATTTTAGAATATTCCTAGTGACAAAGCTAACAGCGATGGAAGAGAAAAGAGATGGTGAACTCCAGAAGAGGTAGGAGAAAAGAGCTGGCAAGTTTCAGAAGGTGAGGACATTCTTGCAAGGTCTCAAAGAGAAAATATACACCATCAAAAAAGAATGAAATGGAACCGTTAGAGATGAAGGCTATAATGCAGGATGTGAAAGCCTCCCTTAAAAGTATTAAAAGTTGTGGCGAGCACTGCATACAGAAGCCATCTTGAGCTATCCGCCATCTTGAAACCATTAGGCTTCACTTCCTCACTGAGCAAATCGTTTCTCAGAAATCATGTGACCAACCATTCTCCCCGGAAGTGGTTGGGTTTCTAGGCAACGGGAGAGATCCACCCACATCAATGATTGGTTAGTGCTGTTCTATCTCATTTGCATTTCGGGCAGCCAATTGGTGCCCACCAGCTGTATATAACTCGCCATTTTTCCTGAATAAACGGAAGTAGACGGAAGAAGACGACTTGATCAGCACCTCGTAGTGTGTGTGCGTGTGTTTATCCCATCTCTCACTCCCTCCCCCAAGGAACCTGTTCCACGGTCCAGCAGGACGGGACAAAAAGCAAACTAGATTATACAGAAAACTGAATCTCGGAGAAGAAGACAGAATCGCTGGACTAAAAAAGCCCACCATGAAGTCTGAGAAAATAGCCCCAAAACTGAGAATAATATATGAAAAATACTAGATACCATTAAATGTGCAAACATCTGGATAATCAGTATCCCAGAAAGTGAAGAGACTAATAAGGGCATTGATAATCAATTCTATGAAATCCTGGAAGAAGACTTCCCAAACCTAGAGAGGCATTCAAAGATTCAGACCCAAGAAATACAAAGAACCCCAATTATAATCAACGTAAAAAATCTTCTCCAGAGCACACCATAGCCAGGTTGGCCAAACCACAGACAAGAGAAGCTAGTAAGATTGGCAAAAGAGAAATGTCATGTTACCTACAAGGGATAGCCCATCAGGCTAACAGCCGACTTCTCATTGGAAACATTGCAAGCAAGGAAAGAATGGAAAAATATTCTCAAAGTATGCAGTGAAAATAATTGCAACCAAGAATACTGTATCTGGGTAGATTATCCTTCATATGTGAAGAGAAGACAAGAAAATTCTCAGATAAACAAAACCTGAAAGAATTTAGACAGCAGGCAAGTTCACCAAGAAGTTGTGAAGGAAGCTCTATAACAGGAAAACTGAAGTCAGACAAAGAAATAAGAGATCAAAAATGATTAAGAAAATGGCCAGCTTAGTGGTAGGAAGAAGTCCAGAGTTGAACATTATCTTCCAGAATTTAATTAGAAAGATCGGACCACAGCAAAAGATGAAGTACATGAGTCTGAACTGGTGAAGTAGAGGTTTATGACTTTTGACTAAAACCTTACTGATCTTCATTACTACTGGGCATCTACTGGTTCCTTATTTAAAATTCATATAAAGTTTATGTGTTTCTTCATGGGAGAGACAGGAGGGCAAGTACCTCTAACAAGGTCTTCACACCACAGTCCCCTCATCTCAGCCACCCTGGGGCATGGACACACACACTGGCACCCAGTGTGCTCAGGGAGGAATTGGGACCCAAACCCAGGCCCTTTCCAATGGGGATCCAGTTGTGTTCCCTCTGCACCTCTGCCTACTGTCTTTTTTTTTTTCTTTTGAAAAATTTATTTGTAAATTGCATGGCATTTGGATATGTGAATGTTTATCACATTTAAAAGGGTAAATGAGGACCAGCAGATGGCATAATGGCTATGTTGCTGGATTCCAATGTAGTCTACTGTGGTTCGAGTCCTGGATATGGTGGCTTAAACTCATGCTGGGTGCATGTGCATGCATGCCCAATTTCCTGAGAGATGAATGGAAGAGAAGGAATTGTGGTGTGGGCATCCCCCCGGGGGGTGATTTCTCGCTTTCTGTCTCTCTGTCTTTCTGGTGAGCACACGTGCCCTATAGAAAAATCTCTCCAAGAAAAAAAAAGAAAAAAGAAAAGAAAAAGAAAGAAAAATAAGTAGAAAAGGGTAAATGAACTGAACCATGGTGGAGGCTTCAGTGTCTACTGTGACATTCTGAATCTCACTGAGTCACCTCTATCTGTGTTTCTGGTCGGGGATGAAGACACGGAGTGTGTAGACATGGAAGTGGAGGTGGAGGTGGGGACTTGGAGTGCAGCCCCCAGGTGCATGTCACGGAGCAACTGGGACCAAGGCTCTTCTATGCTGGGATTCACCTGCAGCCTGGATCTGGCCTTCGGCTCTTTGAGAACTGAGAGCTCCTAGGATATGAGGCTCATTATTTTTAGCAAAAAAATGCAGGAAACCAACAGATCTTCTGGGACAAACAGTGTTCACACTGGGAATTTAGGAGGAAAACCAGAGCTCTCAGGTGCACAGTGGCCCCCACAGACCCTGATGCCAGAGGTGGGGACAGCAGGCTCATAAATGGCTTCTCTGAATCCAGATCTCCATGGAGACCTGCAGTCTCAAGCCAGCTTGGAAGGAGGGAGGAGGCACCTGGGGGAGGAGGTGCTGACCTCAGGGAGGGTGCAGTGGAAGCCTCAGTCTTCCCTTCAGAGAGTTCTGGAGCTGGGAAATACAGGTGGCCCAGAGTGGAGGCAAGGCGTGAGATCCCGGCAACAGACTTTTCATCTAAGCAGGCCTCTCTGGGTAGAGGCATGAACTGGAGGAAGGGGCCCAGCTCTGAGGGGCTGACAGCTCCCAGCAGAGGTGGTGGGTCAGCCCTGAAGGGGGGCCGGGCAGATCCCACAGGGCCCACGGCACAGGCTTGCTCTGTGAGAATCCCATCATGCCAAGGTGTTGCTCTGTCAGGATTTCAGCCAGCTGGACAGGGCTAGGTATTAGTCCTGGATATTTGAACCAAAGAGAGGCCCAGTGACCTCCACAGAAACCCTGATCAATAAGTGAAGGACAGCTGTGTCCTCATGTCTGTCCTTGCACTCAAGTCGCTTCTCTGCATCTCGAATAACAGACCCTAATCCCAGGGCAGTCTGGTCCTGCAGCCCTGAGTGCACTCCCCACACTCCCTCTGCAATCCCACCTGGAGGGCTGGGAGGAGAGGACAGCATGGGGGGCTCAGCTCCAGGTGACATGGGCCAGCCCTGCTATGTCCTCAGAACTCTTGGGTCTGCAGGGAGAGTGAGACCCAGATAGGGAAGGGGTTTGTGTCTCACTTCCCCATCTGCCCGTGTCACTGTGCCGACATAACCACTGTTGTCCAAAGACTCACAGAAATAGTCAGCCTCGTCCTCAGCCTGGGCCCCAGTGATGGTCAGGGTGGCCGTTCCACCTGAGCGGGACCCAGAGAATCGGTCAGGGACCCCCGAAGCCCGGTTATTGTCATTATAGAGTAGCAGTGCAGGACTCTGGCCTGGCGTCTGCTGGTACCAGTGAGCAGGAACTATTCCTAATTCTCCTCCCTGGCAGGTGATCCTGGCTGTCTGTCCCAGCGACACAGACACCGCAGGTGACTGAGTCAGCACAGAGGAGGTCACAGAGCCTGCAAGAGAGGACAGGAAAGGTGAGCCTGAGGCTGAGGGTCTCACTCCCAGAGGGCCCCACACCCTGCAGCACCCCCTGTGCTGAGCTGAAGGTCCGGCCAGGCTGGTCCCTGGTTGTGTGGGGCTGAGCCCTGGGGGCAGCACCTGTGCAGAGAGTGAGGAGGGGGAGCAGGAGAGGGGTCCAGGCCATGGTGGAGGTGCCCCGAGCTCTCCTCTGAACCCACAGCACAGCTGGGCTCCCAGGCTCCTCTTATTCCCTCAGGTCCTTGGGGGCCATGGCTGTTTGGTGTTTATGCAAATTGGCTCCTCTCTGGGCTCCTCATCAGGGCTAAGGTGGTGTCATACTTCCCAGCTGTGGGCGTCCATCAGGCTTCTGAAGAGGGTATAAGCCCCTGCCCCTCACACCCGCGTGTTCTGAGCTGCTTTTCTGACCAACACTATTGCCTTGTCTTCAGAGATACACACACACACACACACTATCCCAGTCTGTCCCCTGGTCTCCTTCTCTGGGCTGGGC